ATTAAAATTTGTGTCTTTTTTTAACCTCGTTCCAACTTTCCCTCCTTATTCGTTATATTGAGTGTGTCTTTGATTGTTTTCCAATTTGTCAACGTATACCTTTGAAAAAGTGTTGGTCGGGTCGAAAGGTACCTAAGGTATAACATGACGTTCGTTTTGTTTAAATCTATGTTTTATTTCTGCGGGTATAAATCACTTACATATATATATATATATATATATATATATATATATATATATATATTGGGGTAGACCGAAGAATTCGTTCTACTTATGTTGTTTCAGATGCCATTAGAAGCATTTTGCTTTAATCGACTTCATTCAAAAAGATAACTTCATTTTATTGTTTCTAAGTTTTTTTTTCAAATTTTCAGCATATGCTGCTTTTCTATTTTAAAAAATGTAACAATGTGACTCAAACGCAAAAAAAAGAAGAGATTATTCACTTAAAGGAGAAGGTGCTGTAAATAATCGAACGTGTCATAAGTGATATACATTGTTTTCGGCTGGAGAACATTGAACAATGATCCACAGTCAGGTGGACTAGTTAAGGTTGGTAGCGATAAAATCAAGACATTACTTAATCAATGCTTTACGACGCGGGCAATGAACAACAGAATGAAAAGATCTAATTGAAACGTTGACTATTATTTACACTGGTCAGTCGTTTTCATGTAATTTAAACGAATTGACTCTACTTAAGGCATTTCGCTATTTAAATATAATGAAAATGTTTCATTTTTGAAACAAAGTGTGAAGTGCGATACAAAGTGGAAGACAACGTAGGGTAAACATATTTCAACTCAAAAAAAGGCTGATTTGCATTTAAAAACGGCCAGGCTGTTTATTTATTTATACCATTGAATTGGAATTTCTTCTGTAGTTCCAAATAATTGGTATGAAGAGGTACCGTTCCAAAGTATATCAGTTCGCAAAAAGCGTCCGGAACAAGTTATTAATATTTTATCAGGATATATATTGAAGAGCATCGTACTTTGGCAAAATTGTTCCAGATTAACTGGAAGATTTTATTCATTTGTCATATTCACAAGGCATTGCAGTGTCAAACTGACATTTCTTCCAGTCCTTCGAGAATTCTCTTAAAGAAAACGGCGGTTTCCTTGGCAGCACCAAAAGGTACCTAGTGTAGGTGGTTGTTGAGAAAGATGATAAATTCTTACAGGATGGAATTATGAAATTCTATGAGGGATGCGAGATAATAAAAATAAATATTTTATTCCATAAAACGAATGTAAAAATAAAACTCTTTTATTTTAACTTAGTCAACCAAAAGAACTTTACTCGGTTCAGTAAATTCCTGTTAGTGAAATCTATCTATAATTAATTGTATTTTGTTTGAGTTTGTTTCTTCTGAAATCGAGTTGAAGAAAGAAAGAAAGAAAGAAAAAGGGAATGAGGGACAAAAAGAGATAGAAAGAGAGAAATAGTGAGAAAAACAAAGAAAAGGCGATAGAGAGAAAAAGAAAGAACGAAAGATAAAGGGTTAGAGAAAGAGAGAGAAAACGAGAGAGAAAGATAGAGAGAAAAAGAAATAGAGAAAGAAAGTGGTACAGAGAGAGAGAGAGAGAGAGAGAGAGAGAGAGAGAGAGAGAGAGAGAGTACAAAACTATTTAAAACAGCATAAGTTTTTAAAACTTCTTCCACTTTTTTTCTTTTTTTTTTCTCTCTGGCAAAACTTTTCAATTTCATGACCAATAATTCCTTTCCGACTTCTCATTCGTCGTAAAAGCCTTGAAACCGGAGATTCCTCACGAATGCAGTACCTTCAAATTTCCCTATGAGTAGAGGGGTCAGATGTTCAATTGGTGTCTACATCAAAAGCGGAATAATAACTCACTATAAAATACCATTTTCAGACATATTCAGTATCGGGTGGGCATACGGATTTCAGCAGACATTGGCCGAGTTGGAATATAAACATTTTCTGTACATGGAAAAAGATGTATTTATATCTCGTGTTCTTCGGTTATTTAGACCCCACCACACCGAGTGATTGACACCAATCTAATTATTCAAGACAGATTAGATAAAAACCAACGGAGAGGGACGTTTTTACATCAGAATTATCAGTCATCTATTTTTTGGCAGATTGCTGAAGTCTACGATGGACATTCCACACATCGACTTCAATGTCTTCTGTCATAAATGACACCTTTGATGGATGCTGACGGCCAATTGCAAGTCGTTCCTTTTATATACGCGTATCTATGCGTCTTACAGTATATGTTTCAGACTGTTTATGTATGAAAGAAGATACATAATGACAGGGTGGTTAGTCGTAAGGAATCGGCGATCCCAATTTGAATTTTGGCTGATGTCGCTTCTTTCGAATTCACATTCAATTCCTTTTGTTAAGATATCTGTGCTGTGTTCCGTCGTCAGATGTCTAGACACAATGTCACGTCACTGGTGTGTCACAATCGTTGATGAAAAAGTCTTAGTGAGTAGCACTTGAGGGAACATCAGTAGAAGTAGCAAAACTGTTAAAACGTAGACGCCGTTACCTTATATATATATATATATATATATATATATATATATATATATATATATATATATATATATATATATATTTCTTTTCTGTATATCCTTACTTGACCCAGCTAATGCTCGTGAGGAACGGCTAAGGGTCAATAAGCAGACGTGGCTCTTGGGGCACTGTTCCGAGGTTATCCGTATACTTGGATGACTATTACGGTGGAACTGAGTGAATAGTGGCGCTATATCGTGTCTAGTTTGTGTCGTCTTCGTCACCGAGGCCCGTAGTACAGTTCGTACAGCGTTTGCCTTGTATCGAAATGGTCCGAGTTCGGTCCACGGCACTACATGCATAGTGCTGATGAGTCCCAAATAGGACGAATCAGTCGACCTGTACTTTCTGCACTCTATGAAAAATTATTCCGGGCTCGATTATATATATATATATATATATATATATATATATATATATATATGTGTGTGTGTGTAAAAATATATAGGAAAGAACTTGTTAGGTAAATAATTCAAAAGTTCTTTAGTGTTTTTGTTATCATTTTTAAAAAATAGTGCTCGATACAAAAGTAGAGCATTGGTTCCAAAAAGATTTCGCTTGAAGATGAAACAGAGCTTAGTACTTTAATTCAATTTAATTCAAATAATTATATTGAAATTTTCGGCTCTTGTTTTGAAACATGAGAACTCTTATGAAGCGTTGGAATCATATTTTTAAATAAATAATATATATATATATATATATATATATATATATATATATATATATGGACACCAATCCTTCATTTAATACATGTTTCGTTGAGTAAAATGGATCACAAATATTTTATTTTGTAAGTTTTCTATTGAATTTTAACTTATTTTATTTTTGAGAACTGATTGAATTAAGCAATTCTCCATAGTGTGTGTTTTCCCGAGTGATTTCGACTAATACTCGGGAGAGGAGTACTTTTGAAAATTTTCTTGGTAATAAGCACTGTTAATACATTTATTTTGTTCCCTATACTGTGTCGTGTGAGATTAGTAGTGATTTCAAAACACTATAGACAACGAAGCAAATTAAATTTATCCCAATTTGACAATTAGCTGAAAGAATTATTGAAATACACAAAAGATTTTAATACATTAAACTTCTGACCATTTTTTCTTTTTCTTTGTTTTTTTTAACTGTCTCACTTTTCAATATCAGTGGTTTCGTTAAGATCACATATTGTATGAAGCAGGATTTTAATTTAACGTCAAAGACTTAGAAATTAATGCACTTTCTATAATACTATACCACACACACATACACAAGCACACACATAAACAAGTTTGTGTATATGTAGCTTGTATATATATATATATATATATATATATATATATATAATTAAGTTATGAATTTAACCCTCCCTATACTTTGTATTGTCTCTTTAACCGCCACCTTCACCCTCCCTGTTTAATTACAAAAATTATACTACCCATCAATTTCTAATCACATTTTTCCTCTCATTTCATTGTTGGAAGTGTTACCTGATGATCCGAAATCCTTTAAAAAGGATTTTGGTGAAATAAATTATTGTAATGGTACCTTAAAAGTGGTCTGTTTTTCATTAATTATATATATATATATATATATATATATATATATATATATATATATATGTGTGTGTGTGTGTGTGTGTGTGTGTGTGTGTGTGTGTGTCTGTGTGTGTCTGTGTGTGTATCTTGAAAATTACTGCTTTAGATTCAAGGACGTTCGATTTGAGGATGACTCCTTTAGTTCCTCCCAGCAAATCGAATAGAAAAAAACAAAACAAAAAATAAAACTAGCATATTTTGAAACATAATATATTTATTTCTTTAGTTTTTTTAAGCGTGTTACTGCGTTTTGCGTGACAGAAATCTGAGAAATATGCAATTTTCTTCCGCCAGAAAATAATTGCGTCGGAGGCAATGCTGAACTTTATTTATCCATTTCTCTGCCAAAAGAATCAAGTACATTTTTAAAAGAATTAGAGAATGTCCACAAAGTCTGACGGGCCTGAATTCTTTAAAGCTGGAATAAGGAAAACACATTGAAACCCAAAAACTCGATTGAAATAATCACATAGTTTCAAAGCTTTTGCTCTTCTAAGCATTCTCATATGCACTATTGTGGAATCATATTATGGATCCATTTTGTAATCTGTCCGTGCCATTGCGAAATACTTCTTTGTTACTAAATAATAATTAATTGCTTTCCTTGATTCCTTTCTCGACCTCTTTTTCCTTCACTAACAGAAGTTGTTGTCTGCTTTCTAATAAATCATAAATTATTTTGGTCTGCTGTTTGATCCAATCATCTATGAAGTCTTTCGCCTGTAACTCAAGATAAATTAAGGTTTTTTTTTTTTTAGATATTAGGCTTATTGCATTAAAAGAGTTTTTCTAAGTATGTGAATAGTACAAATTAACCTTTTTATTTCAGATAAAAATGATTTATTATTAGTAGTAATAGTAGTAGTGGCTTACGACCACATCATGTTGAAGCACCGGTTCCCGTTCGATCACCGAAGCTAAGCAACGTCGAGCCTGATCAGTACCTAGATGGGTAACCGCTTGAGAATACCAGGTATTGTAAGCTTGGATGTGCAGGTGGAGTAATGAATAACGGTTTGGAATTGTTAACCGGTTAGTTCCAATTCCAGTTGGATTCGGTATATTCAATTACGCACAATTACCTTGGGGAAAGATATGAATCCAACTCTTCTCCCTCCAGCTATGGGTTAATTAGTAAAACTTGTATTACTAAACCATTATTCAAACCCTTTTTTAAAAAATACGTCAACCTGATCTCCTAGAAACTGATTTCTTACAAAGAATATATATTCTTTTTATACGAACCTATTCTAAAAAGTCTTGTCGGCATCAGATAACCCACTGAGGTTGATATGCCGTAAACTTAAATAAATATAAAATTGTCGCTAGCAATAAAAGAAAGATGGTAGGACTTCACTGCAAAAGTTGAATAAGTCCAGTGAGATGGAGCATCCTTGTCTTTCGTCCCTTTCTATTATTGTGTATTTACTGAATCAATATCCGTATGCAGTCGGTTTGCTCTCACTATAAGTTCTGGATTATTCTAATATCCTTCCAAATAAAACTGCTTAGTCTCTCTCAGTAATTCCCTTTTGGGGCGCCTCTTTTATCAGGATTTGTCCCTGACACGCCCGTACAACAGGCGATGAACTGCTCGGTGGTGGGAGATTGTAGCTTACAGAAACTGAGTAAGATAATTAACGCGAATAATACTACGGTTTAGCATACATCCGCCATTCCACTTGATTGGAATACGCCACATTCCCTAATTTAAAGCATTCTATAGGTACATAAGACTAGAAACGAAAATGGCACAGCTATCAAAATATAAAAATAGATTTTTATAGTAAAAATACCAGCAATACATTTGCCTCGCAACAAAAAAGAAAACCCTATTTACAAAAATACGTCAATGAAACCTGATCTCCTACAAAGTGATTTCTTACAAAGAATATATAGTCGATTCATACGAATCTAGTCTAAAAATCGTGTCTGCATTAAGTTACCCATTTTCTATTTATAAATTTATATTGAATATGCACATAGTAACTCTTTCCTGTCAGAAAATGAAGATATATCTGAGAGAAATTATGAATTTGATTACTTTGTTGTTATTATGTTTCATATTGTATGTTCCTATCAGTTGTCTGAGGATCATCGTTGAAGTGACATCAAATTTCCTAAATCTCCAGCACCTTCCTTAGTATCCTTGCAACGTGTAGTATTTTTTATTTACTATTGTTCACTCAATACAAAATCCAAAAGCCAGAGAGAGTTACTAAATGAGTTTAGATGTGTATATTATAAGGATATGTAGGATAGACAAGGTTAACTCTCGACTTGAAGAGGTTAAGATTGTAGTGACTGGGAAACTATCCCATCGGAAGCCTGTTCCCCAATATAACAATTCCTTCTCACTGAGGAAAGGAATGAGGATGAGTCGACTCAGTATACTTGACATGGCGGGTCCTAGCTGTGATGGTCCGAACTGATGAAACCAAGGACTGTAGTTCATCCGAACACCTGAATGAAAAAAATCAATAGAGTAACGAAAGGCTGGCAATGTTTCGTCTGTGGGGAAAGGGGTTGTAAGTCGGAAAATAATTAATCACCTACAAGACCGCGTACACGCTTTTGAGGTCTGCGGGGGCTGAAACGTGGGGTTTGGACAGTGATATAGGGCAGCAAGACTCCATTTTTGGTCTGATCTGACTCTTGTAAAGGCAGGGCATGGCAAGGAATCAGGTATTTTCCGGGACGGTACAATATACGCATGTCTCGTTTTCGATAACATAGTGTTATTAATTAACAATGAATTGACTTAGCAAACAGAACTCCCTCTTATCTTTTATAATATTTAATATTCTTGGTGTGGGGTACTTTACCTATATAAATATATAGCAATATAAGAAAAATATATGAAAATATAATTCTTACTGGACACAGTCGCAATTGTGTACAATTCCGCCGGACGGTAAAAAGAAAACAAAAGAAAATTATGCCAAAAGGAAAGAAAAATAAAGAACAATGGAAGAAAATAATTAAATAAGAAAAAGAATTAATGATCGGAAGGAAAAGAAAGCAAGAAAAAAAAGAAGAAAAGAAAAATGAATAAGCAAGCTGGAAATAAAAATAGAATAAAAAAGAAAGAACTAATGAAGGGAACGAAAAATAAACGTATTAAATATGGCTGAAAGAGAGGATGCAGTAAATTAAAACAATGGAAAATAAAATAAACCTAAAGGAAATAAAAAGAAAGAACAATACAAGTACATAAAGAAAGAAGAAAAGAAGGGAAAGTGAAAAAGGAAATTATGCAAGATATAAAAAAAGAAAGAAGAAAAAGCGAACGAACAAAGAAAGAAAGAAAGAAAGAAAGGGAGAAAGAACGGGTGAATAAACGAAAAGAAAATTGAGCAAATATGAAAAAAGATAAAGAAAATAAAACAAATTCACTGTTGAAAAAGAAAAACTTAAAACGAAATCAAAATGGCGATTGTGGTCGAGTTATACTGTCATTTACTCGATGACCTGAGATGTTGTTATTATGAACGGTCTTTTCTCAAGGAAATCTATTCGTTTGTCGGTCTTCTTTTTTGTTGTTTTTACTAACCCTCACTGCAACCCCGACCGACTCACCTCTCCTTCGTGAATATATAGTTTTTGAATTCATTCATTTGTCCTTTTTATTATTTTATTAACACTCTTTCAGTCATTCTCTTGGTCCCTTTATTTCATTCATTAATATTTAATTGAACTTTCATTTTTATTCCTTATTTCCTTTTCCCCCCAATATTCTTTCTTTCTTTCTTTCTTTCTTTCTTTTTTCGTTTCTTCCCGCTTTATTTTTTTCGTTTTCTCCAATTTTTCCCTTACTTTCACTTTCTTTCATCATTTCATTCAGTGCTGATTCTTCACAGTTCATTTTCCTCATCTTTTATTGCTTTTCTACCCGTTACCCACCCCCGTTTCAGGCGCTTGTGTATTCTATTATTCTCTTCTCTTTCTCGTTTTATTTCCTTTTCTCCATCTTTAATTAGTTTCCTTCCTTCCTTCCTTCCTTCCTTCCTTCCTTCCTTCCTTCCTTCCTTCCTTCCTTCCTTCCTAACCCAATCTTGGTGGCTGTCTGAATTAAAGTCTGGGGGAGATGCGAAGTGTTATCTAAGACACCCTACATCACTGATGACTCAGTACTTGCAAACTCTGCTTATCTCTGTCCATCTAAGTTTGCTCGGAGGACGCGCGTTTTTTTTTGTTTTTTTTAGAAGAGAAAACAGGCAGATAAAAAGAAAACGCGTTCTTCCACATTAAACCTGACCAAAGTTTTCAGATCCTGCAACAGAAGAATTTACATTTCTTTCTTTCTTTCTTTCTCTCTCTCTCTCTCTCTCTCTCTCTCTCTATATATATATATATATATATATATATATATATATATATATATAAACAGGGATAACAACTAAAACACGTATACCCACTAAAAGTAAAGTTTATAGTAAAAATTCTTACAATATATATATATATATATATTCCGCGCCAGACGTGCTATACAAATTAAACATTTATTTACTTTTGAAGACCGAGAGTACGTGAGAAAAGTGCATCTATCTCTACCAGCAACAGACCCTCATTTGTGTATATATATATATATATATATATATATATATATATATATATATATATATATATATGTATCCTTGTACTTATCGGTGTATAGCGCTTAGCAGGCTATCAAGCCAGTGATTGTGAGTTCACTCCAGTTATGCTCCCTTATAGGGATCTTGATTCAAATTCAGCTAAGATTTTTCAAATATATGTAAAATCAAATAAAAAGAATTCCTATATATAAAATTAAGAGAAAGTTTTTTTTTAAATGATTTCACCCCAAGCAATAAAGCCACTAAGGCTCACGGTTTTCCTGGGTGTAAACGAATAATAAGAAAAACGTTATTAAGGATCAAGGCCAATAAAAGAAGAGGAATCAAGAAGACAGAAGCTCACGACTGACATTGCATTTAAATTGTTGAAGATCAAAGTTGGCTCGAAGGGAAGAAGCCACAAGTGTGCTCCACAGACGAGAAGTGCGAGAAAAGAAACAGTTAGCATAGAACTTGCGGTTACATCTCGTTAGTTCACCTGTAAAATGATGAGACCTAGTTGGCAATCTAGTACTGCACTTAGATTCATGAAGTCGGTGTACCATAGAAGACAGTTCATCCTAACAATTACCATGAAAGGATTTACAGAAAAGGCACGGGGAAGTTTTTTAGGTTTTTGACAAATCAAATATTAAAAGCAAATTTTATAACAATGCCTCTTTTTTCGCTTTCAATATTGTAATACACAGGGAAGCATTTTCAACATGTCAGAAAAGGAACCACCAAAACTTCTTATTTCATTTACCACATTGACATTGTACAGAAACTGCCAGCATTGTATCGCCTGATGGTAAGACTGATTCCTTTGAAGTTAAAGCAGGCATTCTACAACGGGACACATTTGCTCCTTTTCTATTTATAGTAGTACTGGTCTACGTTCTGCGTATTTCTCTCGACAACATAGAGGAAAAAAGACTCCTTTTGAAACCTCGCCAGAGTAGTCGGTACCCTCCACAATACCTGACTGACCTTGACTGTGCCGATGATCTTGAATTAATTTTTCAATCTATGAAAGATGAAGAATCCTTGCTGCAATCACTCGAGCAAGCAGCGAACCGGACAAGTCTCTATTTCAACGTGAGTAAGGCAATATATATCACAACCTCCCCTGAGCCATCCGAGTTGAAATCACTCAATAATACATCCATCAAAAGAGTTAAGGACTTCAAATATCTTAGATATCGCGTAACAGATTCCCAAAAATATTTCAACATTCGCAAAGCTCTTACATGGGATGCGTGTAAGAAACTTCACAAGATTTGGCGCTTGAACCTTCCATCCTCCTTAAAAGTCTAAACCTTTTAAACATTGACTGAAACAGTTCTACTGTATGGATCAGAAACTTAGACATTATTTGTTCGTTTTGAAAGACGATTAGATGGAAC